AGAAGCTGGCGACCGCGTCAAGGACGCCAGGTCGTGGCTCCATAAAGCCAAAAGCTGTCTGGCCGACTCAAAAAACATAAGGACAGACCTGAAAAACGGCATAAACCAGGCAGTGACGAAGCTATATGGACTGGTGTGCGAAGCGGAAAATGCGAGGAAGCAGCAAATAGGAAATGTACCACAGCCCGTGTCATGCCAGGTGCCTGTATGTACCACGGCTATAGACGCTTTGACTGCAAAATGCCACGAGCTGGCGAATGGCATCGAGGAACACAAAGTCCAAATGCAGAAAAATGCCGAAGAAATGAGAAGCCTAAAAGCCGTTCTAGAAACTGATCGAACGGCCCGGGGGCGCGACAGCTATGCGGAGGTAGTGACACGTGCCTGTGACGCGGGAGGTTGCCTACCGGGCGTGCGACGCTGCACTCCGTGGTGGTTTCGTCCACGGAAGAAACAGAAACAGGCGAAGAAATAATGGAGAAGGTCAGAAAAGCGGTCGACGCAAAGGAGGGGTGGGTTCGGGTCGAAAGAGTCCGGAAAGCCAGGGACCGAAAGGTCATTATGGGATGTAGTAGCACGGAGGAGAGGTCCAAGTTGAAGGAGAGGCTACAGACTGCTGGAACTAACCTCGTCGTCGAAGAGGTGTCAAATAGGGATCCGCTCATACTTATAAGGGATGTACTCCAGGTCCATAGTGATGCGGAGATCCTTTTGGCTCTCCGAAACCAAAACAAAGAGATCTTCCGTGACCTCGGCGACGAGGAGGCAAGGATGACTGTGAAGTACCGCAGAAAGGCGCGAAATCCGCACACTGGCCATGTCGTCCTCAGCGTTTCACCCGCTATCTGGAGAAGGGCAACTGGGGCGAGAAGGCTCAGAGTCGACCTACAAATAGTACGGGTCGAAGACCAATCCCCTTTGGTGCAGTGCACTCGCTGCTTGGGCTACGGGCACAGCAAGAGGTTCTGTAAAGAGCCGGCAGACCTCTGTGGCCACTGCGGTGGGCTGCACCACAGCGCGGAATGCCCGGATAAGCGACTCGGCGAGGAGCCTTCTTGCGTCAACTGCACAAGAGCAAAGATAGGCCCTGCGCTCACAACGCCTTCAGCGCTGAATGCCCTGTCCGCCGAAGATGGGACGCGTTGGCTAGAGCTTCCACGGCCTATTGCTAAGGGCGTCCCGGAGAGTAACTACAGTTGCAAAATTATTCAGGCGAATCTCCAGCGAAGCCAACTGGCAACCGACGAGCTCCTCCTTGAAGCTGGCAAAGAAAACGCTGCCGTCGCATTGCTCCAGGAACCCTATGTCGGCGGGTCGAAAAGGGTTAAAAGTTACCGCGGCGTAAGGATCTACCAGGCATCTCAAACCGAAGAAAGGGTCGTCAAAGCGGCGATCGTCGTCTTTAACCAGACACTAGATGTCGTACAATACCCGCAACTCACCACCCCCAACATCGTCGTGGTGGGAATTCATACGAGAGCCTGGAGGATCACGATGGTCTCTTGTTACTTCGAACCTGACCTGCCGATGGAACCATACCTGGCGCATATCAAAATGATAGAACAGTTCGTCGGTTGAGAAGCCTCATCATCGGCGGTGATGCCAATGCCAAGAGTATCTGGTGGGGCAGCCCTAATGAAGATGCAAGAGGAGAGCAGTTGTGTGGAGCTCTGAACGAGTTGGGCCTGCAGATAATGAATGAAGGCGACTGCCCGACCTTCGACACCATCAGGGGATGCATCAGGTACAGCAGCCATGTGGACATAACGGCCTGCTCTACTGACTTGCTGGGCCTAGTCAATGGATGGCATGTGCGTGAGAATCTCACGAGTTCGGACCACAACGGTATCGTATTTGAGATCAATCTCGAAAAGTCGACTGCACCGACATACATAGGACCACTAGAATTTACAATACACGTAAAGTTAAATGGAGTCAGTTTCGCGAGAAACTGACCAAACCATGGCAGAAAGACAAACAAACGTAGAAAATGTTAACAATTAGATAATAGCACTAAGAAATTAGACGAAGAAATTATTAAATACACAAATGTAATAAGTTCAGTATGTTCGGAAACGATGCTATAAAGAAAAACAAAGAAAGACTCACAGTGCCGTGGTGGACCGAGGAACTCGCAGAGATGAAGAAGCACGTAGCTACCAGAAGACGCAGGATCAGGAACGCAGCGCCGGTGCGTAGAACTCTAGTCGTCAATCTGTACCTGGCAGAAAAAGATAAGTACATGAAGGCCGTTAAGAATGCACAAACCGAGAGCTGGAAGGAGTTTTGTGGGAAGCAGAATAGGGAGGGTGTCTGGGAAGGAATTTACGGGTAATGAGGATGACGGAAAAAAGGGAGGAAGACGTACCCCTACACATAGGAAATGAAGTCCTGGATGCGAGGGGTCGGTGGAACTGTTGGCCGAAACGTTTTACCCGGAGGATAATGAGGACAGCGACGACTCAGACCATCGCCGAAACGACAACAGGCAGGATCAGTA